GAAGCTGAAGACAAAGTTATCAGAGGTAGCCGCCCAGTTTGCTGCTGATTTCATCTCCGCCGGCTACACAGACTACTCTACCTTCAAAGACGAGATCAAAGGCATGTTCTCCTCTGCGGTCACCTACGGCATTGACTCCAAATCCTCCAGGGCAAACATCAACCATCTAGCCACTCGCAGAGAGCTAGATGCAATGGTTGAAGCCCTAGAGAGCTTGTGCGCAAATATACAGACCAACTCCTCAAAGAAGCCCGAGCTTCCAACCAATCAATTAGAGACTGCACCTCAAAGCTCGTCAAAGAGGGTGACTCCTTCAGAAGCGAAATCTATCGCAGCCTCTCTAAAATGAAGTGGGCCTCAGAGATCGACATAAACAACGCTTCTGTGAATGCTGAGTTGGTGATCGAGAAAATGGAGAAGGCGGCTACCAGAATCCTAAGGCGATTGAAGAAGGCTCCCCTTGTTACTTGCAAAACAGAAGCCACCAAAATCCATGACGATCAAGGAGGTGATGACCATGATCGTCATGAGGGGGAAAAGAAGACAGAGAAGAAAGCTGAAGAGCCTAAGAAGACGACCTCTGCCAAACCACTAAAGATAGTGGACTCTGCACCTGCCCTGTTCTCAAAAGACAAAGCACCAGAGCCTAAGGGGAAAGGCAAGGGTAAAGCTGTAGAGGAGTCGCCACAGAGGGGGTCGAGCTCTGAAATGCCAGAAGAGATAAATGAAGAAGAGTATGATGACCTAGAACTCGTTCAAGCTTTAAACATGTCTTTGGCAGAGGCAAAGGCAAGAAAGGGCAAAGCCCCTATCCCCAGAGCTGGAGAAGGCTCATCCTCCAAAATGGCGAAGGAGGAAACGTCCACGGGTACGTTCGACGCTCTGTCAGGAACTATCAAACCTATCCTAGTAGAGGGGTCCACCCAGAGGCCGATACTAGAAGAAGAATAAACCAGAATTCCAGAATCCGCCACAGTAGGAAGGGTCTCTGAAATTCTTGAATCGATGAGCAAAATTCCTACGCAACAAGTACGCACAGAGCCCGTAACCACTGTAGAGGAGATTCTGCAGTGGCGTTACTCTGCCATGGACACAGAGCCCCCTTACAATCCAGAGCTTACAGGTATACCCTCTGCAGCTGCGAAGTTTCACTTCTCAAAACTTACAAGGCCACGTGAGCAGGTCTTCTCAGAGCACGTGATAACTTCCCTTGAAACAATATCTCCAAGGACTATGCTGAAGAAGACCGTGCTTTATGCTCAATATGTGGTGAAGAGGGATGACGGCAACCTATACACGTTCACAGATGCTGACCTCCACAACCTCTGTGTATTTGACCTTATCTTCTTGCACAAAATTCTTAACAAATACATGGAGAGGAGGTCAAGCTATTCAATTTCCCTCAGAAGGCTGATTGAGGTGATGCGCGCTCAAGTAAAATACTACAGCCAGAAGGACTTCGATATCGCGATGAGGTTGGCCCAAATAGAATTGAAGATTTCCCCTCCAAAGAACAGGCCAAGTTGGCTACTTAGATGTCATCCCAACACTATTATCCATAATCCCGTCTTTGGGTTTGTATTCTTGGACAAGGATGACATTCTAAGGTTCTTTGATCCAACAGAGGTGAACAAATATGCGATAGAGACTCTTGAGTGGGTGTTCAACCAAGTCGCAACAGAGGTGCACATAGGGCATCTAAGGGCGGATGAAGTGTCTGGTATTCTGGAAGCAATTAAAGTTCAAGTCTCCTTCAGAGAGTGGATATTCAAGGTCTACAGAACCATCAAGTCAGATCTGCAGTTTGCCATAGACGACTATCTAGACTCTGCTGTGGACTAATCTTCTATAATAGTATTGGCCTGAGCAACAATTTTGTAATTCTTTCAATTTTATGTAATTCTTTTCAGAGGATGAGTTTAATCTCCTCTTGTAATTCTTTCAATTAGTCAGTTCTTGCATTCAATTTTCCAATTTTACTTTTTCATACTTAGAGGAAGATTGTTAGCTCTAATATTTACTTAATGTAAAAGTATGAAAAAGTCTTCTGCAAGTGTTGACAGAAGGGTATCTTCCACAGAAGACAATAGAGGACCAGCAACAGAAGTTGTTTGATCGTGCAAGTCAAGAATGACAGAATCTCTGTTGTCTCTCACAGAGGTTCTGGAAATGGTCCTCTGGCAATAAGAACCTACAAGTTTTCTACAGCAGAGCCTCTGAGATGGCTCACAGAGGGTCTGCGGATTCGTCTTCTGTGAAGATCCTGTTCTGCTGTTTTTCAAATGTTGTTAACTGCACGTGCTTCTCACGTGACTAGGTCTTTAATCGACTTTATTTGGATGGCTTGGATGATTTCACACGTCTAGGTCATGTCAGAAAGGTCGTGAGAAACTAGTATAAATAGCAGCTTAGGCCTTTGTAATTCAGTGTGCTTCCGTATTGTAATTGTCTATATTTTCAATCAATTGAAAAAACCTTTGAAGCTATTCTATTACGTTCATCTTCTTCATATTAATCTGTGTGTTCTTGGTTAATTACTCTGTTTTGTTCTTATCATTGTTTCCGCTGCACTGTAATTGTCCTAGAGATCATTCAGAGTAAGAGTTCAAATATCAAAGCTGAATTTACAGGTCCTAACATTAACTCTAAATTTTTTGTCGTTTTGTGTAGTTTCTCGATTCGTACTCTTCCTATCAATTTGAGGTATCGATTTGAGGTATGGGTTTCTTTTTCGATTTTGCACTTTTTTTTATTTTCTTTCTTCGACGTTGGGTTTGTTAGTTCGATTTTGCAGCATTTTGGAGTTTCTTTTCTTTCAATTTTGTATCATTAGAAGTCCCGGTTCAATGGATTTTTTTGCACATATATCTTTTTCACATGTTCTTTTATGGGCCAAACTTCGATTTAAATGTTGTTTCATCATTTGTGGCTTTTGACAGGAGATTGAGATTGAGCTTAGAATATTGAAAGATTTAATATATGGTTATTGGTGGGATACTGCCATTTCCATCATCATTTGTGCTTTGTTTCTTCGAATGCAAGAGTATGAATAAAGGTATCTACTTTCTGATCATTTATGCTTCTTTATTATTATTTCTTCTACATGTTTGATAATACGTCTAAGAGAGATTCCTCGATGAAGGATTTATGTTTGTTTGATGATTGCTTAACGTCTGTTGTTGTGCCAAGTATAAGTTGATTATAAGTTTGCTTTGAATATAGATAGAACAGAGATTGATCGGTAGTTTGAGTTAATTCTCAGATTTAGGATAATGGGTAAATGGTTTTCATGGTTCTGCTGTCTTTTGTTTATTTTTTATATTAATATATCATTTGAGTTATATTCTTGAATTTATGTGTTTATATCATTGTTAGAATTTCTCGGTTTATATCATTGTTAGGAATTGCTTGCATATAGTGAATTAAACTTGATCATAATGATGGGCATGAATCTTTATAATTTCTCTACCAATTCTCATCCATTCACGGTCGACCCAGGTAATTTAATTTTGCTAATCATCGATTCACTTTTATTATTCTAGGATGGTGTCTATGCTTTAGATGTTCCTACATGATTATGTTCTGGTTTCAACAGGTGCTGCTCTATATCAGTTTTTGTTTTGATCAGATTAAGGTGGTTGGATTTATTATTCTACAATCACACAATTAAATATGGTACACTGTAACTATGTGCTTATTTGATTGTTTTTCTTCTATTACCATGCATGGTTTCGGTTTATAAGATAGCTGATAATTATCCAATAACGTGATAGTGATGAAGCAGTAGCTGCATACATTGAAGCCTGTGGAGAATCTTTGAAGGAACTGTCGCTTAATCATGTTGATGAGGTTACATTCTTTTAACAACCATTACATTAACATGTTTCAGTTGTTCATCATATTTGTATGGGTTATATATAGATATATAAATGGGTTGGTTGGTTGGTTTCTTTATTGTTTTTCAGGTTGGGCACCACACTGCTTTATCGCTTGTGAAACATGCAAGAAATTTGTTAAGTTTGGATTTATCTTTGTGCCGTAATATGACGAATGAGGCCTTGAGATTGATTGTAGATAGTTGTGTATCATTGAAAATGGTCAAGTTGTTTGGGTGCACATAGGTATGGATGTTAACGAACAAGATATATAGTAGTTGATAATAATAATTCATTATTGATAATTAAATTTGAATGGATGCAGATCACAAATGTGTTTAGATGGACACTCGAACGAAGAAGTGAGAGTTAATGGTTTGAGAGGGAGTCAAATATTGAAGAACACTCAAGTGCATGATCACAATTTTCATCAATATGAACACAATTACAGCATGTTTGATGCCTCATTTTGCTCACCGTCTCTCCTCCGGTCGTACCGACACCTTTCCGTCGTTCCTCATCGTCTCTCCTCCGGTCGTACCGACACCTTTCCGCACATTTTGCACTTGTATAAATGTCTTCCTTTGGCTTCTCCATTTTACAACTAGGGTTTGAACTAGCTGCTTATTTTAAAGGTTGACATTTCGGAGCTCCGGATCTGCATTTACAGTATTTGTATACATTAACAAACCCATTTGCTTTTAAGGATTTCTATGATTCAATATATTTGAGATGAGTTGTGATTCTGGTTGAGTATCTTGCACCACCGCTCCAGTCATTCGAGTTGTGATTGAGTTTATGAATAATTATAGAACCTACTAACACCAACATTTTGGATGAATGTATATTTGAATCTAAATTAGATACAAATGTAATGGGCTCTCTTACATCTTTAAGCAAATTGATATCACAAAATTGAATAATCTTAATGAGTTTTTTACATCCCATTGTATGGGTACACAACTAGTAAATATAGATATATGGTAAGTTGATTGGGTAATGAACACGTGACATGCACATGACTTGCATTCATTATAAACACCCTTCAAAATGGCGGCAATTACACTCTTTTCCCCGCCCATTTTCACTCTTAACTTCGAACCCGCCACCCCACACAGTCTCGTCTCCACAACCATGAACAAGGGCAACGGCAGGAAGAGGCCGGCGCAGCAACCACCCGTGCCGCCACAACCACCGAAGCACCAAGCGACGGAGGTGGCTATCGAAGAGGAAGACATGGACGAGGATGTATTCCTTGAAGAAAACCTTGTTGACGAAGATGAACTCATCCTCCGCGATATGGAAGATCGGGAAGCCCTCGCAACTCGCCTTGAGAAATGGAAACGGCCAGTATTATCTACGGGGTACCAGTCTCAGTCAGAGAAGATAGGTAATTTCACCACTGTTGCTGTTGCTTCACATAAATTTCTAGGGTTTTGCGATTCATTAGGGTTCAAGCAGATTGTTTGAAAAGGAATAGTTAATTTAGGAATTATTTAAACGAAAAAAATCATCGATGAAAGGTGCAATTGTACCTACTACAAGCATCGGGCACGTAATATTTCCAAAATTGCTATTCAGCGTCGATGATCAGTTATCTGTGCACTTATATTCCGAAGCAAGAGGTACACCTTAATTTTTATATAAAAAATGATCTATATTTTGAACTTCTTGTGGAAAATGTTGTGATTTTTCCAAAGCTGGCACACAAATGTCAGAAACAGCCGATGTGTGTGTAAGCGACCCAACAACTGAAATGCGGAAACCAAAAGGAACACTTATCATGCTAACTTTGCCAGCCACTTGAGGTCGCATATAAACGCGGCAATGTTCTACTTCTACTAGTTACTACTATTCTACTAGTGACCAGAGGTCGTTGTCAGCCTAGGGTGCCAAACTTGTACAATACCTCCCCTTTTGGTATGTGACCTAATATAAATTTCACATTTCTCATTGATACTCAACAGCCACAACTCTGAGATACAAACGACATCCAAATTGCTCACCTGTCAACGAGCTTCAACGTGGTCATCACCTATTAACGATAGAACCAACACTATTTCAAAAGAGCTGAACAAATGGCACCCAAAAAGGTCTCAACGAAGTACTCTACCTCATCCACAAACCATCGTCCTAGTCCACTTACTAGGTGACCATGAAATCAATTGCCAAACCCAATGCCCCATCTTGATCCAACCAAAGGCCCATCTTGATACATGTATCCTTGATGGACACGAATGGAGTTGCTAACTCCCAAAGTAACTGCCTAACGAAGAGGTTCAAACTTGACACCACAACTGTTGAACATCGAAGAAAGTCGGACTTCACCTTATACGATACTTTATCTTGATACAGATACACCATCACCCTATGAGTGTGTCTTGGAAGACACCACTTTGAGCATGACGATGCAAATACCTTACATACGAGCCTTGTAGACATAATGAGCATACCAAGCAAATCAACATGTACCTCCATTGCCGCAAAATGTGGAAACTTCTTACCCCACGAATGAGCCTAGACACGAGTGTGAGCTTAACAAGTCAAAATCGAAATGCCTTTGTGTTGCTGCAAAATATTGGAAAACACGTACTCCACTGTTAGCCGATCCCATGATTGAAGTTAATCTAGAAATAATTGGTATGTCTCCTTGTGGAACTAACACAAGATCCCCAAAGAGCCAAGATCCAAACTGTTGCTACCATCACAAATTATATTACGCCACCGACGTAGTAGGCTACCTAGTAGCTCGCATACAACGTGTTCAGCTACACCACACAAATACCCATAGACACCTCCAAACCTAGAAGTCGCCGCAGTTGCTCAAGTTGCTAAAGTTATCACCCACCCGTCATGTGAACATAGTGACCAAAAACAGGTTTTATTCAATGGAAGAACGTGTGGTTCAGATTCTTTAACCCCTCAAAGTGACTATGGCCCCAAGCTACCCCCAAACCATAGTAGGCAATTGTTGGCAAACAACGCAAATGTGATGCTAATGACTAATTGTCCAGACTGAAAACAAATAGAGATCCAAATGGATGCACACAAGACTAAACCCAAACAAATATCATTTCCCTTACTATACATCGTACGTTGAGTAAACGACCCAATGTGTGTCAAACGACTCACCCCAAAATGGAGGATTGGTTGTTGCCTAAAGAGCCTCATTGTTTACAAGGAACAATAAAGTATCTTTGTCTCATGCTTCTTCTTTGACTTCAAACACTCAACCGAGCCTGAGTATCAAGCAATGGTTATAACCTACCTCTTGAATTGCTCCTCGAATTGGGCTTCTGCAAAATGGAACACCTTTAGATGACTTAAATGAGGCATCTCTTTCCACTGATAGGCCTTGGGAACTATTGTTGTCCTGCGAGTCCAAGTTTATCGTCTTTATTTTCTTTCTCAGTCATAGATACCATATTCACATCCGAAAATGACAAGTTATCACGCCTATATATGAGCGACTCCTTTAATCAGTGTTGCAATGGCTGCATATGCGGTGATTTTATCTATTATGCTAGAGACTTATAATTCTTTTGTTTTATTGGATGGAATTTCTATGAGTTAGATCAATAAGAACCCCAAGTCCTAGCTTTACTACAAAAATATCATTTAGAGCCTAGATATCTAGCTCATTCTATTTTGGTAGTTTGATTGTGGAATTTCTTTGTTTTTGTATTTCTTGAATACAAGTGAGTTTTTATAATTGATCCCATTGATAGTCCTTTGAATGACTTTGTCATCTTGATAGAAATGGTTGTTGGCAAACCCATTGTACGAGTTCGAAGTTGACAACAACATAATCATTGCCAACTGCTCGTTCTTTACCTTCAAATCGACAACCTTCATTTGCATCAACAAATCATTGAAAGTAGTCATGTGTTGCTTAACGATTGATCCTTCTTGCATCATGAACGAAAAGAGGGTCTTATCAAAATCAAAGGACTTGATAATATAAAGCTCCTCGAGCCTTCTCCAAATACCTGCAATAGTAACCTCAAAATTGACTTCAGATATCACATTGTTACGCATAACTATCTAAGGTCTTGGCTTGGCCGAATGCTTCATCTCTAGTATCTTTTATGCCGGCGTGTTGAGATCCAAATCCTTCAAAGCATATACAACCTTGAGACAACAGTTGTCCTCCAAAATGGCTTTTTCTTTCCATTGCAATTTCCATATTTGCTATTGGCGTTCCAATTCGAAATGAACAATGATGCACGAAGTGCAACAATGGATCCTATAACAAGCGAAGGTTGACTAGTATTTTGCACTCGAAACATTGCTTTTTGGAGTAACACCGGTGTGAAAACAACAAATTTCTACCCAAATAAAAAAATGAGTAGATCCAAATACACCTAATAGAATATATTGGTAAACCTTTATCTTTGATATCATTTGTTGGGACTTTTCCAAAGCTGACAGACAAATGTCATGAATACCCAAAATGTGTAAACGACCCAACAATCTAAATGCGGGAACAAAATGATCGGAACGATATAGGGTGTTTCAAAACAATAACATCAAGTAAATAACGCAACAATGTAATGACACTCAAGTGTACAACAAGGTTCAACGCCGTTATAGCTGTGTACATTCTCCCCCTAAACCTATATGATGTATTATATCCAACAAGCAGTAAGTTACTAGGAAATGCGTGCTTAAATGGTTACAAGCTCCAAATGTAAGCATCTAAACTTATCTACTTTAGTAATTGAGAGGGGAGATCGGGAGACGACCAATGTGTTTGCGCTAAGTGTAGAAATGATCTCCCACAAGAAATGAGCCTTAATTTGTGATTTATCTCGTTACCTGAGTCATGCTACCCACACAAGCCACTTTAGGTTGCATAATAAAGGTTGCCCGGTTCCATTTTTACCTATTTATGTATGCGACCTTGATGCAACTTGTTCCCCAACACAACTGATAGGGAAGGTGCTACAGATCACTTATTGGATCAAAATCCAAGGGCTTCGAACCAGTGATGGTTGTGGTCGATAGGCTCTCAAAATATTGTCATTTTATTTCTTTAAACACCGATTCTTGGCTCGCACTGTAGCTGAAATCTTTCTTCGTCAAGTCATCAAATTGCATGGGATACCAAAATCTGTTTTGAGTGACCGTGATCCATTATTTCTGAGCAAATTTTGGCAAGAACTTTTCTTTTTGCAAGGCAGCACCCTTAAATTCAGCTCAGCATACCATCCTGTGATGGACAGACGGAGGTGGTTAACCGGAGCTTGGAAACCTACCTGAGATGCTTTGCTATGGACCAACCAAAAAACGTGGCCATTTTGGTAACCCTAGGCATAATTTTGGCATAATACGTCCTACCATGTATCCACCAACACTACTCCTTTCGAAGTCGTTTATGGCATACCCCCTCCAACTTAGTTTCAATTTGTTCCTGGGGAAGTGCGTTGTGAAGTTGTCTTGCGCAATCTCCTGGATCTAGACGAAGCAATTAAACAACTTAAGTATCATTTGGTTCGTGCCCACACACACATGAAAGCTACAACTGACAAGCATCGTCGGGATATTGAGCTTATGGTAGGGGATTGGGTGTTTCTCAAACTGCGTCCTCATCGTCAACAAACTGTGGTACGTAGGATTAATCAGAAGTTATTTGCTCGATTTTCTGGGCCATTCCTTGTTTGTTGCTAGAGTTGGGGAAATTGCCTATAAACTCCAGCTGCCCGAGTCCGCTGAAGTCCATCCCGTTTTCCATGTATCACTCCTTAAAAAAGCTCCGGGAAACAGTCCAGTTGAAAGCCTCCCTACCTCTTGGCCTCGAGACAAATTCTGTAGTCTCTCCACTCCCTAAAAATGTTTGGGTACTCGAGAAATTTATGAAAACGGGGAGCCAATATCACGATGGTTGATCCAATGGCTGCAGGGAACTATTGAAGATGCTACTTGGGAGGATGTCTATTCCATTCAAAGTCAATTTCCTTCAGGCTTGACAAGCTTGCACTTCATGAGGTCGGTATTGATAGCGAAAGTGCTACGAATCACTTATTGGATCAACAACCAAATGGACCTAAAGCTTGGAAAGTTTATTCTAGAAGGAGGTTTAGAGGGGGACACGTGTAGGGGGAAATAGGAGCAAGTTGTTAGGACTGAAGAGTGAGAAAGTGGAGGGAATAATATATTTTCTCTTGTTGGTGGAGCAATGGGAAGAGAGATTTACTTTCTATTTTAGTGAATTCGGCTATCAGTAGCTTGGGCAAAAGGGTTTACCGTACGGTGGTTATTCTTTTGATTTTGTTCCTTAAATAGTATGAATACCAACTAGCAACTATTTTCCTTGTTCTTATTTTCTTACAATCGAGTTCTTAATTTTTGATTCCTGTCATTTGATGTTTGAGTATCACATAATGTAATAGAAAAAATTGTAACATGTTGCAATATTTGTTTGAAACCCATATCTATTTCAAACTTTTGTTTCAAAAGTAATAGATATGACATTAAGAACTAAAATGTAGCCCTCACAAAAAGGTCCCAAAAGGTATACATTTTTTATATGGAGGTTTGCGTCATGAATTTATTGCTCTAACATTAGAATCTATATGTGGAGAATCCCTATATGCAATGGCGGACCTAGGATTTTTGCGGAGCAGTTGCACCTTTAAGGTGGATCAAAGGCCCGCAAAGTCGCCCGATGTGTTTTAGCCAAATTTTGCCGTTTCGATAGATTCTTTAAGTTTTTGGTTGATTTTGAGGGACTTTTTTAAGTTTTTTGGTTGATTTCGAGGGAATTCTTTAAGTTTTTTGTTTGATTTCGAAGGATTTTTACAAGTTTTTTGGTTGATTTCGAAGGATTTCTATAAGTTTTATGGTTGATTTTGAGGGACTTTTTCAGTTTTTTGGTTGATGTTCCTTGTATTTTATAATATCCTGGAGCTGCCCAAAGTTTAGTGGGTGCACCTTTAATACCCCAAAATAAATTTTACTTGCGAAAATCAGTTGAGCGGTTGCATGGGACCCGCTCAGCTCCTAATAGGCCGCCCCTGCCTATATGCATGAGAGATTCATAACATCTCTAAATGCAATGCAACAAAATGAAATGATCATTTTTGCTATTATCCTCAGGCCAAGCTCACCTTGAGATCAGAAGTAATTTATTGCTACAATCTTATAGGATACTGAACAATATGTATTTGTTGCTTGTTTTCCCCAGGTTCAAACTTATTAGCTTTTAAAAAAGAACTTGGTGTCGAACAATATGTATTTGTTGCTTGTAGTTTCTAAGGAGCCGTGATAGAACTTCACTTTGTGATGATGGCTTGTTTTCATACATCACTGCTGGGCCACCAGAACATCAAAACATGAGTGATTTTTTGTTACTAAGCTCTCTAATTGGAAGTGGTCAGTTTTGTCATTCCATTGCTCTCTTTCCTTAACCTTGGGAATTACTTTCATGGTTGGTATCTAGTTTTTCAGCAATTGGAGATTGATTACGTGATTGGAGAGAGTCACAAAGAATTGATTCCTACCTCAGCTGGCTCTGCTGCTATTATCAGAATATTTGGTGTAACCAAGGAAGGTATTTCTTTATCCTTTTTTTTTTTTTGCCACTGATTGAAAACACTCCTCTGATGGTATTACTGTACTATATTATTATAACTTCTGTTATACAGATATCACTCTTATTTGTTATAGAAAGAATGTATTTTCATCAGCATTGTCATTATTATAATGATTATTATTATGTTTTTTTGTTGTTGGGGGTGAGGAAAAGTTGTTGATTCTCTAACTATCAAGTTTCTATAGCTGCTAGGTGCTGTGACTAGTAAATTTAGAAAGAGGACAGGCAGGATTGCTCAATAATTGCCATATGCATAATTTTTCTGTTGACGCATCTGGATCTATGCCTCAAAACGTTTTTAATACACACTAAAGGTTTTTTGGAGATGAGTAACTTTTCTGGTGCAAGGTTGCTTGTGTATATACAAGTATTTTATTGCAAGTGCTATTATTATTTATTTATATCTTTGGGATGAAACTCTCTCCTGTGATCTAACACTTGGTCTGTGATTAGGAAATAGTGTATGCTGTAATGTTCATGGATTTGAACCATACTTTTATATTAGCTGTCCTCCTGGAATGGGCCCTGATGATATATCTCGGTTCCATCAAATTCTTGAGGTATCTTCATTTTCTGATCGAGTTATTTTTCTTATAAGAATTTGTAGCGAGGGTGTTGTATTTGTGCATTGTGTACTGAATGTTCTGAAATAGAATGCACATGTTTTCAATTTCCTGTAGGGGAGGATGAGAGAAGTCAACAGGAACAATAAGGTTCCTAAGTTCATTCTCCGTATAGAACTAGTTCAAAAGAAGAGCATTATGTACTACCAGCAGCATAGTTCTCAGCCCTTCCTTAAAATTATTGTTGCATTGCCGACAATGGTTTCTAGTTGCCGAGGTAAAGTGTGACATACTCCTGTGGTCCTGCTAAAGTTTCATCTATTTGCAAAACTATAAAGGTTTTTATTTATAATAGTTAGTATCTCAAAATCTGCATGCTTTGAGCTTTGCATAATTCCATTTTAAGGTATATTATCCTCTATTATTTTCAGTAATAGAGTTTTCTTACCATTATACTTGTTGTTTTGTTTCAAGTAACCATTGTACTTCTTAAAATGTAAAAAGACACCAAAGTTTGCCAAACAAGCAATTACAAACGTGGTACTCATAGTTTCAATGCAAACTAACCATTGGAAGTTGCTTATGTTCGATCACTTCAGCATGCTTTAGTGTTTTATTTATTTATTATTTATTTTGCATTTTAGAAGTACAACAGTTGGTTTGCAAGGGAAGTAAAAGTAAGATGGCTAGAAAACTAAGTGATTGGTATATTCTTATGCACTTTTCGGTTAGTTTGAATGTTATTCTTTACATTGCATTTTGGCTTATTACTGTCTCAGTGGTTGCAGTGCATGTTGGATAGTCCCGAATCTACTTTTGTTACAATCAGTTTGATCATCTTATATTATTTTGCTTGGGGTTCTGTCCCCTTTACCAATTCTTTTGATCATCTCATATTGTTTACAAACACCCTATGTAATCTTGACAGGAATTCTTGACAAAGGGATACAAATTGATGGTCTTGGTATGAAAAGCTTCATGACATATGAGAGTAATGTTCTTTTTGTTCTTCGCTTCATGATTGATTGCAAAATCGTTGGGGGCAATTGGATTGAAGTTCCAGCCCACAAATACAAGAAGACAGCAAGGAATCTTTCATACTCTCAGTTAGAGTTTGACTGCCTGTATCCTCATTCAAGCAATGATAGCCCATAATCTTCTTTATATAAGCCTCTAATTTGTATGTGTTCAGCTTCACTGAATTATATTATCGAGTTCCTTGACAAAGAATATAGTTATTCTGAACTGACTAGCCATGTTCCAGAAGGAGAATTTTCCAAAATGGCTCCATTTCGCATATTAAGTTTTGACATTGAGTGTGCTGGTCGTAAAGGCCTTTTTCCTGAGCCTACGCATGATCCTGTTATTCAGGTTGATTCATATATTTTTGTTAGTAATTTGCTTAGCAAAACCATTCAACGAATGAACAAAGTTGATGTTGAGTTCCTGATTACATTCTTCTTACCTCTTTTGTAGATTGCAAATCTGGTCACACTTCAGGGAGAGGAACAGCCATTTGTGAGAAATGTCATGACCCTAAAGTCATGTTCGCCAATAGTCGGTGTTGATGTGATGTCATTTGACACAGAGAGAGAGGTTTTGCTGGCTTGGAGGGTAATATTCTGGTAGTTTATTTACAATCAAGATATCATTTTAACTTCAATTAGAATAACTATATTTGGTGTTAGTTATTTGAGGTCAACTAGTCCTCAAATGTCTCCAATTTGTTTGAGTTATATGTTACTTTTCTGATCATGGGAACTGGTGAACTGCACAATAGACCAGTTTAAGAGTACGTTTGTACACTGCTCCGCTTGGAGATGTGAAGAGGTGCAATCATGCTGCAAGCCTGTATTGAATTTGGCTACTCTTTATTTAGAAGTTGGCATGCATCTTTCTGTATAGAAGTCTGAAGTCTTGAAGTTCACATTCCCATAATTATAAATGCAGAACATTCTGGGAATAGTTCATTCTTCTCAGATTTTCTAGGAAACTTGTTCTGCTTCTGAATTCGTTGCTTCATGGACATCCATTATTCATGTAGGCTGTAAAAATGTTTATAAGAACATTTATGACAAAAGGTAACTAGTTGATATGCAAATGGCAGAGTTTTTAATGAACTGACATGATATTTCTTATTTTATGTATTTCTTACTATAGTTTTCTAAAGTAGTTCTAGTCCACATAGAAGAGGATGTTCTAGTATTTCTGTATATTTTTGTTGTATTTGCAATCAGATTTGTCTCGATTGGACAACAATGGCCCCTTTGTTGAGACTTTGTGGACCAATTTATATTCAGGGGAGCTGAAGATATTTCTATCCCTTTCAGGATTTTATTCGTGAAATTGATCCAGATATCATAATAGGTTACAACATTTGCAAATTTGACTTGCCATATCTGATTCAGGTCAGTGACTCAACCCTTCATCCTCAGCCTTTTCTTTTTTTGGGATTATAACTCTTGAGTACTTTACGTTTACAGTTCATGTTTATCCATATACTGTTAATTGCAAGATCAACATTGAATGCTGTCCATAATTCTTGCTATTAAGTGACTAGATACATATTTTGGTTCACAGAGGGCAGAGACATTGGGAATAACCGAGTTTCCGTTACTGGGCCGCATCAGAAATAGTAGGGTTCGTGTCAAGGATACAACTTTTTCCTCAAGGTGATGCTTGAATATATAGTTTAGTACTTGCAACTAATGATGGGAAAACGATATCTTCATCTTCTCCTGCGTCTTAATTTCTGTAGTTCTAGTTTTTTCTTGTGTTTGATTATATCTCTGCTCCTGAATGCATCTTCTCACACTTTTCCCGAAGGGCATGAGTGTTGGTTTGGATAAAACCAGGGGAGGGGAGGGTTTACAGTTTGATGTGTAGGAAACTGAGGGTTTTGTAGGCTTGCTTCAAGCTTGAGCTATTTTCAGCATCGATGCTTGGTTCACTCAATTTCACTTTTGGACAAGGAAGTTTTGAACAACAATTGAAGTAGGTTGGTTGGTATTCTATGATTATGAACATATATACTATCAACTAGTTATCCAAAGAGTCATGGGGTTCTTGGTGATGTTCAAAAGAGATATTCCACAAGCGATAAGTTAATGTTGCAGTTCATGACATATCTATCGGTAGATTCTTGGTTAAGAAGGCAAGGATATCTAAAAGAGAAAAAGCAGAAGAATATAAAGTAGAATATAAGTTTTGGAGCAAATGTCTAGAAGTTTCTTTTATTAAATAATAGATAAGTACATGGGATGGAAGGCTTTGTATAAGTTGCCCAAATACAAGAAAACGAATAAGCTCTATACTGACTATGACACCCCTATTTCCTCAGCTACTTCTCTAACCATTTGCATATATGATATAACAGATGCTTGGATTTTATTAAAGTGTATTTGTAAGGGTGGTTTGCCTTTAAGAAGACATTGGAGCCTGCAGTTTCATTTATAATAATATAGCTCAAGTTCCAAATTTGACAGAAGACCTAACTTTGGCTTGTACTTTACAATATATGTGGCTGCTCATCAACTTCTTTTTTGAGCGGAAAAACTCCAGGCAATATATTAAACAACAAAGAGGTCAAAAACTACAAAGTCCAACAACAAAACAAAAGAACATGGAAACAACAAACCAAGCCACCAGTAACCAGAAAAAAACAAAAAACAGACTAACAAAAATAAACTAGGAGCTAAAGAAGATGATCAAGGACCAACTCCAAAAGTAGCACCACCGAAACACAGCAAGAACCAACCAATTAAGAATCACCATTGAGCATCATAGAGTTTTTGGACCTATTCCTCCAAGCCACCCTTTGAAGGATAGCATTCCGGATAAAGTTGGCAAGCTTCTGCACTGATCTCTTTTGATTCCTAAAGAGTCTATTATTTCGCTCCTGCCAAATAAAGTACACAAAGGCAGATAAAGAAAGTTTTTGAGCCAAAGATCTTAGACCCCTAGCTCCAATAATTAAACCATGTAGAGTAGCATTCCATGAGTCTGCGTAGCCATTAAGACCAACCTCTGTCTTAACCTGTCTCCAAACCGCCAAAGAGAAGTCACAATCAAAGAACAATTGATTGCGCGAGTCCTGATGATTCAGGCAAAGTGAACACTTCATATCTGGAGGGTCATGTTTCCACATACCAATTCAATCCTGCGTGGCCAATCTATTAAGACATGCAAGCCACATACAAAACGCATGTTTCGGGATGAAACCCCGAAACCGGACTGCTTTGCAGGGGACCTTAACATGGGGTGTGTGCATTGAATCCCACGCCTCCCGAACAGATAAAGCACATAGCGAATTGTTTTTACCAATCCACCATGTTTTGTCCTGAGTCTGATTATGTAGACTCGGGACATTATAGGAGAGCAAGTCAGGGTATCTATGTGTCCAGGCAGTCGGCCAGACACCATTCAAATTTTCAATAACATCTCTAACCGAGGAGTTATCAAATCCACTAGCATGAATACACCGGTAGGAAATACGAGAAGAAAGAGGCCCACACGGCAGCCAAGTATCCTCCCAAGCATTAGTGTCCAAACCATTGCCAATTTCCATGAAAAAGAACCTTCTAACTTGGGGTATTATATCTGGGAGTTTGCACAACACCCAAGACCAAGAAGAACGTTTAGAAATCGTCCAAAATGAGCGTTAAGGAAGGTAATGAAGGTAGATCCACCGGATCCACAAGGAATTCCTCCGTTGGATAATATCCCAAATGTGCTTAGTTAAGAGAGCACGATTTCAAAGGGTTAACTTTTTGAGGCCAATCCCACCACAAGAAACAGTTTTGCAAAGATCATTCCACCCAATACGACATTTACCACGGGAATTCTGCCCCTGAGACCAAAGAAAATCTCTAAATAATGATTCAAGCTCGTGGGTCACACCTGAAGGAATAAGGAAAACAGACATCCAATAAAGCTGCATGGATTGAAGGACAGATAGGATAAGCTGCCTCCTACCACCAAAAGAGAGAAATTTGTTCTTCCAATTGTGAATTCGCTGTTTGACTTTAAGAACAAGCGGCCTAAAGTCAGCTGTCTTAAGCCAAACTGGAGAGAGAGGGACCCCCAAATAGCGAATCGGGAAAACCCTAGGTCGGAATGGAAGACACCCACGAATAGCAACTTTCACATCATCCAGCACATTCCCAAAGAAGATTTCGCTCTTTTCAAGGCTCGGTGAGAGACCCGATCGTTTTCTAAAAAGATCAAGGGCTCTCTTCAACAATTCAACAGAATCCGTATCTCCTCGAGTAAAAACAAAGAGGTCGTCAGCAAAGTAGAAATGAGTCAACTCTAATTCATGACAACCTTTATGATAACCAAACTGATTAGCTTCCTGAATACAATGTTTAAGGATTATAGAGAAGCCATCCAAGACAATGGTAAAAAGATAAGGCGATATGGGATCACCTTGCCTGATACCACTACCACCCATAAAGAAGCTCTCCGTTCCACTCCACCATTAACAACAACCGAAAAAGAGGTAGTGTATAACATTTCCCGGATCCATCTAATAAAAATAGGGTGAAAACCGAAACCATGTAACATATGAAGAATATACCTCCAATCAACAGTGTCATGCTTTCGGGATATCAATTTTGAACGCACATCGAGGAGGACCAGAGCCACGTTGATAACCCACAACCAATTCATGAACCATAAGGATATTTCAGATATACGTCTACCCAGAATAAAAGCCGATTGGGTAGAGCTGACAATCTGATCTAAAAAGTCCTTCATTCTGTCTGAGATGATTTTGCTTATGCATTTATAAAGGACCGTGCAACAAGCTATAGGTCGAAAATCTGTTACCTTAAAGCATCGGGACCTTAGGGATTAGACAAAGAAGAGTGTGATTGAGCTCCTTTAAAAGATGTACCAAAAAGAAGAAATTATGAACTGCTATCTCCACATCACGTCCAACAATACTCCATGCTGCCTTAAAAATTTGGAAGAGAATCCATCCGAGCCCGGGCTTTGTCATTACCAATATGCATGATGGCAGATTTTATCTCATCATTAGTAATCGGCCTAATCATATGAAGGAATTCCGAGAGAGACAGTTTCTTTTCAAACCAGTCAAGTTGCAAGTAAGGATCAATAGACTGATCCCTTCCACCAAGAAGTTCCTGGAAATGATCAACAAAGACAGTAGCAACATCATCCCCATAAGCATAGATTCCATTTGAGTCATAGACCGAATTGATATAATTGCTATTTTTCCTCTCTTTTACCGCACGCTGCTCACTAACTTTCAGTTGGTTCTGAATGAGTTTTGACATGCTCATGTTGCATTGATTTTCTCCCCCCTTCCCCCCACTCCTTGTCACAAATGAATGCAGACAAGTAGTGTGATTCTTACGACTTCCAAAACTTTTGTAGGACGATATTGCATCACATAAGTTTATGACTATGCTACTCTTAGAGCTATAAATTCTTTAGTTTTATGATTTTATACTAAATTCATTGAACACCTTTATTTACTAGAAAAATTGTAGAGGGAGACCACACCTACTAGCCCCTCACTGTCTTTGTCACGGTAATTGTATATTCTTATTTGCTGTTGATTTGGTGTACTCCTATGTGGTTATGAAATATATAATTTGTTGAAGATTGGGAAGTTTTTGCACAGTTGTACTAAACAAAGTTCTACATGATGCTGAATTTTGCCGATTATCATTGTCACAGACAGTATGGTACAAGGGAAAGCAAAGAAGTTACACTGGAAGGGAGAGTTCAATTTGATTTACTTCAGGTCATTTCATCTATACAATGTATTGAACTAGTAAGTGGATGTAGAGTGATTACTAGAAGTTTTAGTTACATGTCTTAATGTTTGCAGGCTATGCAAAGGGATTATAAATTAAGCTCGTATTCGCTGAATTCTGTTTCAGCACACTTTCTTAATGAGCAGGTAGGATCATGCATTTTTTTATATTATGTTTTGTTAATACACTCGTATTGTGGATAGGGATTTCCTTGTATTTCATTCATTCGTTGTGAGAAATCAATATTAAGGGTTCAGAACATTTTCTCAAATTCGCTAGTAATCTTCTATTCTGTGTATTTAATGCTTGTATCCATCCTATCAGTGGTAGTACATGTGTACAACTATAATTTTGCTTGTACTTAGATGGTTAATGCATAAACACGCTTTATGTAAGGGATATATAGACATCTCATTCCAAATCCAACTAGCCACCAGTTCTTTGGAGATGCATTATATCTCTTGCACACACTTACATGCATAGTACCTTAGTTGGTAACCAAATAACCACTTTGTCAGCCAACAGTAGTGAACACTGACAGAATTTAAGAAGCAGATGATTTTTAATGGCATCCAACATTGTAACTGGGTTGACCTGAGTTTGTACAAATAGTTTATGATGCCACCTTTTTTACAATCTTACTTTATGTTTTTGCTAGATGCTTACATCATCTGGTGGAAGTCCTCCACTGCATGGATCTTGCAAAGCTTTCTGCTCTACATAGTATTCACAAGTTGATCTTTGTTTGCATGGTTGGAAAACTGGAGCCATGAAGTAATATGATCATCATATTTCCTAGGCAACACAAATTATTTTAAATAATAGATGAAACAAAATGAAGATAAAAAAACAACCAAAAGAGAAAATAGGAACAAATAAAATTAATCTGCATTGTCTTGACATCAAATCATTTTCATGTATCATAGTCGTTCTTTTATTATCTTTTTTTGATGATGCGTATTAAACTATCCATGTCTTGTTTTTTTCCTTCTATATTACAGCCATTCTGATGTTTTTGGCAATATGGTGTTTGATTTGCAGAAAGAGGATGTTCATCATTCAATTATATCTGACCTTCAGAATGGTAACCCAGAGACAAGACGAAGATTGGCTGTATATTGTCTCAAGGTGTTGTTCTTTCATTAATTACATGATCAGTGATCATCAATCTAGGCTCATCAATACCGGCCGATCCTTGCTTTCTAACCTTGCCATGGTCATCAATTCCATAGCTTTTCATAATCCGTGTTGAGGCAATATATTATTTGAAATCCAAACTATTTATCTAGGAAGTAGGGGTGCCTCAATCCCTTGCTGAAGTATATTGGTTATAATAGTGCAAGAAGAAGGCTTGATAATGAACAAATTCTTTTTCGTTGATAGCTTGGACTGATATGGGGATACTAGCTAAAAGTAAAAGCAAGATAAGGCTTGAACTTAAAACATTTTTATATTTTATGTACTTGATGTATGGATTATAAGGTGAGTTTTCTCTTTAATTGGTTTGGTTTTAGACTTCTATATATGCACACTGAGATATAAATGCAACCCATCTCAACTTTATAATCTCTATATTGTAGCATCCACATGTTACACAACCATATCCCTGATTTGTGTCCTTGCAACATAGTTGTTTGCACATGGCTAAGCCTTCTCAAACTAGATATACGTCACTTACATTTACAAGTACTGAATAGTAGGACAGTTTTATTAAGCACTTCATCAATACTTGTTTACTTCTTTTCAAAGTTTATTAAAGATGTTATTTGCCAAAATATGGATTGGTTGCAAGTGGCAACTGCTAAAATATTTTAGCTTCAAATAGTAGATATATGTCACTTACCTCAAATTGTAGGACAAAGTTTTAAAGGCACTTCATCGATAGTTGTTTCCATCTTTTGGAAGTTTATGAGAGAGATTATTTGCCAACTCTCATTAGCAAAGCGTTAGTAGCAATCTTTCTATCAATTACTTTCCTTGCCATCTTGATTGCCGCACCTTACCTTTCTTCCCGGAAAAGATTGCAACTGCTAAAATATTTACCTGAGGCACTCTGTTTCAAAACTGAAAGAGGGATTTTTTTCTTGTGATTGAAAAAAATGTTTTTTAGTAGAATGGTACTAATATTTTCTACAAATTGAATAAAGTAGATTGCTTTTACAGGATGCCTATCTCCCTCAGCGGCTGTTGGACAAGTTGATGTACATTTACAATTATGTGGAAATGGCTCGAGTCACGGGTGTTCCTATATCATTTCTTCTTTCTAGAGGGCAGAGCATCAAGGTCATCTTTAATGAAAATCTGGATGCTGTGTTGATTGTTTTATAGGAGTACTAGGATTTGTAATTTACGTGACTATCTGCAGGTACTCTCTCAACTTCTAAGGAAAGCAAAACAGAAGAATCTAGTGATTCCTAATGTGAAACAAGCAGGATCTGAACAAGGAACGTATGAAGGTGCAACTGTGAGTATATTTTCTTCATGATCAAATTTTAATCATATGCTATATTCACATTTTATGGTGCTTAAAAAATGAAGACAGACAATAACCACTAGCTAACAGAATTTGTAGGACCATTAGATCTTTCTATATTGTGCTTTAACCATGTGTGATCAGGGCAGATAATTCCTAATTCATGAGTTCGGATACTCGTTGAAGATGAGAGAGAAGAATGAGCAAAAGTATTTCAGTTTACCTTTCAAATTTAGCATACAGAGCACTTATATATACTTTTGGGTGTAAACAGTCTACCTACTATGATGATCTAGAATAGATTAAAATTAGAGCTAGTCCTTCCAAACTGTTTGTATGACTGTATAACAGTACAAGTGCTATTAAGATTTGTTAACTTTACTGTTTATCGATTTTAGCATAACTCTATGTTCTTTCTCTAGTAGAAGTTCTTGTTTTCATGTACCATTTTATAGTGCTTATTTCCCCATTCAAAGAATAGATAGAGTCAACAGTACGACAGACAGTGCTGCCTACATGCAAATTTGCTTCCAAAGTCGAGAAGTCTCAATTTCACTACAGGATTTTTAGTTGACCTACTAATCCGATGCATAATGACCTACTCAATGGACCTACCTATTCACTAATTTAATGATACTATAATATGTCGAAGGTTCAATGTTGAATTGTTTTTAAGAAGACAAGATACCAGGCCACGAGTTTGATCACGGATTCAAGTCATTGCAACTTGCTGTCTGGTGCATTTAAACATACACACTTATGTTTTGTGATCATCAAAATGTTGCAATTGAGGACCACAATAAGTGAAGATAAAGGATATGGAGATTGAGACTGTAGAAGAGTGCGACTATAGGTTAATCTCAGGACTGCCCTTCAAAACTTGACTTCCTCTGTCCCTAAATAAATGTCTACAATGAAAAAGGCACACAGTTTAAGATTGTGAAATTATTACACTTTTTAATCAATTAAATGACAAATTTACCCTTAAGAATAGAGGAAGCAATAAATTTCTTTATCTCATAATTAAGGATAGAATTCGAATATAGACATTTACATTCGAAAAGGACACTTATTTTTCGACAAACTAAACTAGAAGTGTTTGACACTTCATTTGGGACAAAGGGAGTAATACTTCTCCCCTCAAGCATGGGAAGGATAGAGGATCTCTTCAGATCTGCAGACCACTCATCACCTCAGATAGATGGTTGAATCATTCCCTTCTGCATTTGTTAGAAGTGGTTTTAGCATGCATAGATTAACTTAACTGAGGAAGCAGTGGGAATATGGTGTCTTCATAACTATGGAATTTCCATCCCCATGGCAAAAAGCCAAAAAGCATGTTAATGGAAGGAGTCTATAGGAAGAGTGAGAGACCTCTTTGTTTCTTTTATAATATTGAAGTAATGGTTCTTTTTTCGGAGCAGACAAATTTTATTTCGTCTTGTTTTCCCTCATGGTCATGGTCTTACATAAGGTGTACTTTAATTTAAAAGCATATGGTATGCTGATGTTCCTTTTAATCTGATATCTACTATGTTCATCTTTTTTGTAGTCATTATTGATACAAGTAGTTATTGTGTGGCCTTTCATGAATCATGTTCCTATGTGACAAGTGGTGTGTTTGGGACATTTTAGGTTCCTGAAGTTTCATATATCTCTTGAGTCACAATGTCCCATTGGGGGAACTTTGCCAAATTGATTTATTACCCTTATAACATTGCTTGCTTTTTCATACTAGGAATGTGATATGAATCACACTATACATATTGCAATCTCGATTGCTGGCAAATTATATGACAAATAGAAATTGCAAAGTTATTACTAACATGGTACCATGATAGAATGTTAGAAGGCTAGACAACTATATATGCTATCAGAGTCGTGAGGACCGAGACTCTACCTTCATGCCCACGGTCCTGCTAGTCTTATTTTAACATTGGAGAAAGGGAAACACAGATCCAGCCAAATTCAATGCTTGATTATTCCAACAAAGAGGAGAGTTTATCAGTGCATGAAACCCAATATGCGTGGTTATGAACTGATAATCTCCACATCAGTAGGCACATACGCGGATGTGGAGTCCAAAGCATGAAGTTAAGGTCATTACTGGTCAGACTCTTCTTGGAGCATTCTGCATACATTGATCCCCTTCTCCAGCCTATCAGTGTGTGTTCAGAATTGTATATGGTGTCTTTGAGATAATGTTTTATTTGATATATAATCTCTTTGTCCAGCTCATCAGCCTCTGTTCGAAATTGTAGATGGTGTCCTTGAGATACTGTTTTCTTTGATAGATAAAGCATCAATTATGATTGCAATTCCAAATAACATAGTAGTACAAAGAAAATTAGGCTGTCAAAACTTCTCAGAACATTGATTTCTAATATGCTTTTGAGAATTATTTTTATTGGATAGCCATTAGGTTTAGATGTCTATTTTGGAGTATTTGCTGATAGTTATGCATCGTGTATTGTTATTTTCACCTGTTCTATCCCTATTCTGTTTGTTACTTCACAATCTTTTTGCTGATTGCTTTTCCAAATTTTGTCTTCGCTTTTCCCCCTCCCTCTAGAATGCTTATTGCAAATTTAAACATTTACGATAATTGTTTTACACGGAGGTTATTATTTTGTGTAGGTTTTGGAAGCCAGAGCGGGATTCTATGAGAAGCCAATTGCCACATTGGATTTTGCATCTCTATATCCATCAATCATGATGGCATATAACTTATGCTATTGCACTCTAGTGAGATATTCTTCCATTTTTGTCACTAGTGTACTGTGTGAAGCTATGTTTCTAGGATAAACAAATTCGTCACTGGTTTGTGAAATATTACAATTTCTTATTAAGATGTTTTGATGTGTGAACTATGTTTTGCTCATCCTTATTAAGGTGACTCCTGAAGATGTCCGCAAGCTCAACCTTCCCCCAGAATGCATCAACAAAACGCCATCTGGTGAAACATTTGTCAAGACAAATTTGCAGAAGGTTCTCATTGAGTTGATACATAATGCATGATATCCCGTAAAAAGATCATTGTGACAAGTTAATTACAAATGTGCTTTCAGGGTATACTTCCAGAAATTCTTGAAGAACTGTTAGCTGCTCGTAAAAGAGCCAAGGCAGATTTGAAAGTATGGCACTCCTATTTTTTCAAATATTATATTAATTTTCTATTTAATTAGTAGTTGTTATAGATTTTCTTGACATGTCCCTATTTATGTTAAATTTGTTTTGTTCACTTGGTGCTTGGGATGTTACTAGGCTGGACTGTCTTGTCAAGGAAAGATCATGCCAGATTTAAGCTAAACGATATCTTTAAATTAGTAAGGCTATTGTACTTACTTCAATGGTTAGCATCATCTCATGAAGAAAACATGAATTTTGTTCTTGTTTGGGTAATGCCAAGAAAATGAGCCGAGTTATTTTAAATTCTGAAAATTACAAGAAATAATTTAATTCATCTGGCAAAACAGTATACTTGGAGGCAACTTGGGAAGAGAAAACCCATAATTGCATCAGCAAGTAAGGATGATGTGGATGGGAGACAAGTTGTCATCATCATTTGTCATCATTTCTTTCTCTCTTCCAACCAACATGACCTCCAGTGGTGATGCAAGGAACCCTCGCTACAGTGAGTTGAAGGGGTACCGAAGAAAAAGACTGCTGCCCCACTTATAGGTCTATAAAAATGCATTGACCTCTCATATCTATGCGAGTGGTATTGATATATAGTCAACAAAAGTTGAACGGGACTGCTGCCCCACTTATAGGTTTACATGTTTGAGCACAATTTGACCTTGTGGTCATCCCTGCAACTTGACCTTGGGCCAAATGATTGAAACCCTAGAGATAGCAGAAGGTGATATCAGTATCTGTAAGATGTATGCTTCTATCATGAAATGGATGAAGAAGGATGAGTGTGTTTGAGGTTTGGGACTTTATAGGTTATGAACATGATAGAAATTTGTCTCAGGATGATGTATATGCACAAGCAGTTATTGAAACGGTATGCCATCATGTTTGTCGGATCAGTTCTAAATTTCCACTAATCCATATTCAAGACATAGAGGGCCCTAAGGCTATGAAATGAATGTCACCTCTCTTCAAGACCCACGCTTAAGATACTTCATGTCTTATCCCTCTTTTCCTTTTCCTTTCCTTCTGGCTGAATATCCTACTTCATTGTCCCCCTTAAAGTTAGCATTCCACATAAAGCCAAGTACAACTGGTGGGGTCAACATAATTTAACAGCCAAACTGTTCAATTAGCTCAAGCATCTCATAATTAATATAATTAGTGAACAGGTTACTCTACACTCTTTCAAAGGCGACTGAATTAGGATGGACTGGACTAAGCAAGAACGGAGCATCAAATTGCAGGAAGTAGAATTTCTTCACCAAATCTAATTTTATGCAGTAATGCTATAGATAATAACTGTTCTTTGATGTATTCACTGAAGAAAATCTGTTGTGGAGAGTCTTTGGATCAGATAGGTAACATAAGTTGTATAGTTACACTACTTATACGGAATCAGATAAACTATGTGAGGTTGACTGCCCCTCAATCATATACTGTTACTAGTGTTGTTAGTATTCTGTTGGTCCAAATGATGAGTTTGTTGCGTTCCAGGAAGCAAAGGATCCTCTAGTGAAGGCTGTATTGGATGGTCGCCAGCTGGCTTTGAAGGTAAGGATCTAAAAGTTTTTTGTTTACTTGCAGTTTTTCTCCTTGTATGTTTTTTTTTTGCCTAGCTAATTCCTTTTGCTGGAATAACATTGTTTCATTATGGGATATCTTCCAGGTAAGTGCAAATTCAGTGTATGGGTTTACAGGAGCTACCATTGGCCAGTTACCATGCCTAGAGATATCTTCCAGTGTTACGAGCTACGGTAATATGTTGTCAGCCATAGATTATATGTCTGTATGTGTATATGTGCATGTAGTGAGAATAGTTATTTAATTTTGGTAAGAACCTCTTGGTTGAAAAGTTACCTGATTCTGTAAGTTGATAAATTTGTGAAGGTCGACAGATGATTGAACATACAAAAAGACTTGTTGAAGATAAATTTACAACACTTGCAGGATATGAGCATAATGCCGAGGTATATTACTAACATTATTTTTTTCTTTGGCCCACTTCTATGGTTGATGACTTGTAAAACTTACTGGAAATATAATATCACTGATAAAGATCCACCATTGAAAGTGTACTCAAGAAAAGATCGAGTCACAGCTGCAAAAGTGGGACAACTGTATTCTGTCTTTGGAAACTGGCTGAATCCTCTCGGTCAAATCACTGAATGATTTTAGGCAATCAATTTAATTAATGATTATCCAGGAAATTAGGGTGTAGAATCATGCCCTTAATTTCTACCCATAATTCTAGTATTTGATTAATATAAATTAACGGCTAGTTTTTCATGATTGGAGTGAGAATTATCTTTTAATTTCCTTGTTCTTGTAATCGGAGACCGTGCCCCTCTCGAATCGGGCCACTATCCTTTATTTCTAATAAAATTCAGCCAATTTTCATCTTCATCAATTTTGTACCTATCATTTGGTTCCATTGCCGGGAATCAAAATGGTGCAAACCCGGAATAACTCAAACGATGGCAGTAACCAACGCGAAGCAATTTCCGTTCAGTTAGCTGCCATAGCCGCAAAGTTGGAGTCAATTGATCCATTGAAAGCAGATATAGCAGCTCAGCGGGAGGAGATTGCAGCTTTAAAGGTAAGAGGTCGTTCCCAAGGAAGCAAGAGTGATGAAGGGGAAAGTTCCTGGAGGGGCCGACAACCATATAGGCCCTATAACAAAATCGAATTCCCGACTTTTAGCGGAGGAGATCCTTGCGGATGGTTGCTGAAAGCTGAAAAATATTTCAGGTGATGAGGAGAAGGTTGAAGTGGCCTCAATGCAACTAGAGGGTGATGCCTTGGACCTTTACTCTTGGCTCTCTAACAACCAACCCATCACTTTTTGGGAGGAATTAACCCAATCGTTTACAAAAAAATTTGGTCCGGCAGAGTTCCAAAACCCGGATGAATTCCTGTGTAGCATCAAACAAACTGGTTCAGTTCAAGAATATCGGCAGGAGTTCGCTAAGAGATCCTCTCAGGTCTCAAATTGGCCTGATCATCGTCTCTTAGGGGTGTTCTTGAATGGCCTTAAAGATGAGTTGAAATCCGATGTAAGGATCCACAAGCCATGTACGGTGTATAGTGCTATGAGCCTGACTTTGGAGTTTGAATCTAAACTCTCCTCTAACCGGACAGAAAAAAGTACTTCTTGGACTTCAAGTTCAAAAAATCCTCAATCAGATTCCAAACCAACACCCTTCACCCTAGTTCCAACATCAACCCAACCAAAAAACATTCCTTGGATCTCCGACACAGAAAAACAAAACCGATTCTTGAAAGGAGAATGCTTCAGATGCGGCGACAAATACGGACCATGTCATCGATGTAAAACTGGTACCCTCAAGGTGTTAGAGGCAGAGGAGGATATGGAGGAATTCCTGTAACAGAACTCCCTAATCCCGATTCTGACCAAGAAGAAACGGCCGAAATCAGTTCGCATGCTATCTTAGGGAAACCACACCCTACTACGATGAAGGTCCGAGGTAATCTTCATTCTACCGAAGTTCTAATTTTAATTGATGGTGGCTCTACACATAATTTCATTTCAGATGTTTTGGTAAACGAACTCAAACTTACCTCTGAACCAGTGGCACCGTTTGGTGTCTAAATCGGTAATGGGGATGTAATAAGCCACATTTGCAAAAATCTTCCTGTACAGGTCAATGAGCTTAAGATCACTCAAGATTTTCACCCCTTTTCTCTTGGTGGGGCTGATTTAGTATTGGGTATCCAATGGTTAGCCACACTAAATACGGTCCAAGCTAACTGGAAAGAGATGTTCATGATCTTTAAAATCGACGGGAAACAATACAAGTTACAAGGTGTTGCATCCGGGCCTCAAAAATCATCTAGTTTTCAACACCTAGCCATTGATCCAGAAATTCCGCCATGCATACCAGCCCCACTTCAGCCTATTGTTACACAATACATGGTTGTTTTTGAAGAACCTCAAGACTTACCCCCAGTTAGATCACAAGATCATTCAATCCTGCTCTTGCCAAACTCAACCCCACCCAATATCCGCCCTTACCGTTACCCTCACTCCCAAAAAGCTGAGATAGAAAAACAGGTGGAACAATTGATGACATCCGGTTTTATACAACCGAGCACAAGTCCTTTCTCAAGTCTAGTTTTACTAGTGAAGAAGAAGGACAATACGTGGCGAATGTGCGATCGGGTTATTATCAAATCCGAGTGATAGCCCCGGATATTGAAAAGACAGCTTTTCGTACCCATTCGGGTCATTACGAGTTTAAGGTTATGCCTTTCGGCTTAACCAACGCTCCTTCCATGTTTCAGGCTGTTATGAACGATTTATTTCGTTCTTATTTATGATGTTTTATACTTGTGTTCTTTGATGACATTTTAATTTACAACTCAAGTATGGAGCAGCACAAGCTTCACCTAGAACATGCCTTGAAATTGCTGCATGACAACCGATTCTTTGCCAAATTATCGAAGTTGTGTTTTTGGGACATGTAATCAGCTCGGAAGGAGTTAGCGTGGAGGAAGAAAAGATTTCAGCAGTAAAGTCGTGGCCCATTCCATCAACAATATCAGAGGTGAGAGGTTTCCTTGGGTTAACCGGCTATTATAGGCGTTTTGTCCGAAATTATGGACTTATAGCCCGACCACTTACTGCATTGACCAAGGACGGGTTTCTTTGGTCGGAGGCAGCCCTTAAGGCCTTTAATGACCTGAAACAGGCGCTACTGACTACACCTGTTTTGAGGTTACGAGATTTCTCTAAACCTTTTGTTATAGAGTGTGATGCATCATCAAATGGGGTCGGGGAGATACTATCACAAGAGGACCATCCCATGGCTTATTTCAGTAAAGGATTCTCCCCATCTAACCGCTTTAAATCGGCTTACGACAGGGAGCTGTTGGCATTAGTCCTCGTGGTCCAAAAATGGAGCCATTACTTGCTTGGCCGACATTTTCTCATTCGCACCGATCACTATACCCTTAAATTCTTATTAGAACAACGCATCACCACTACAAAGCAGCAAAGGCTTTTGCTAAAACTCATGCCTTATGATTTTTCAGTTTTTCATAAGGCTGGAAAAGAGAACAAGAAGGCAGATGCCCTGTCTCGCCGACCACACTCAGGAAAATTATTAACACTTATCATCCCCTTTTGTGTTGAGGTAGCTGATATCAAGGCAGGTTTGCAAACTGATTCATTTACTAGCGATATGATCAAGAAGTTGCAAATAGATCCTTCCTCCGTCCCTGATTTTGTTTCATCATGGACGGATGGTGATTCCGGAGATACACAATCTCAAACTCAAGCTGTTACAAGAAGCACATGACATTCCAATCGGTGGTCATGGAGGTTTTTTAAAAACCTACAAAAGACACTCTTCTTGTTACTATTGGCCAAAGATGAAACATGATGTCAGGGAGTTTGTCCAGCAATGTATAATCTGTCAGCAATAAAAGTATCAGACGTTGGCTCTAGCAGGATTACTTCAGCCCCTACCCATTCCCAATCGGATTTGGGAAGATGTTTCCATGGACTTTATCGTTGGATTACTGCCATCTAGTCGTTTTGATACTATTTTAGTTGTAGTGGACCGTTTAAGCAAATATGCTCACTTCATTTGCTTATCCCATCCCTATATGGCTAAAGGAGTAGCAGCGGTTTTTGTAGGGAAATAGTCAGGTTGCATGGCTTTCCCCTATCCATTGTGTCTGATCTAGATGTTGTCTTCCTCAACAACTTTTGGCAAGAATTGTTCCGATTAAGTCAGACAAAATTAAAGCTGAGCACAAGTTACCACCCTCAAACGGATGGCCAAACCGAAGTTTTGAATCGTTGCCTAGAAGCTTACTTACGTTGCTTTGCTAGTGAACAACCAACCAAATGGAGTACGTACTTACTTGGGCCGAATATTCATATAACATAGGGTACCACACGGCCACTGGCACAACTCCATTCTCTGTTGTGTATGGTCGAGAACCCCCTTCGCTGTTCCCCTATGCGGCAGGCGAAACAAAAAACGCAGAGCTGGAACAACAGTTAGTTGATCGGGATGATATGATAAAGCTTCTTCCCCAAAACCTTCAAAAGGCCCAAGGCAGAATGAGAAACCAAGCAAATCAGAAGCGACGGGAACTCACGTTTCAGGTTGGTGATTATGTCTTCTTGAAGATTCAACCGTATCGCCAAAAGACTTTGGCTAAACGTCGTGATGAGAAGCTGTCTCCAAGGTTTTTTTGGACCATATTGTGTTAAAAGAGCAGTGGGTCCAGTTGCTTATGAGCTGGAATTACCACCCGAAGCTAGAATCCACCCGGTATTTCACATTTCGATGCTTAAACCTGCCCATGGCTCTTTTTCTTTGGTACCAGAGATCCCATTACCCATCACCAAAGACTGGGAAATTGATTTACAACCTAACTCGGTCATCACTCATCGATGGGTCTATGAAGCTGGCCAACCTGTCCTCGAATTGTTGATTTCATGGTGTAATCGGCCTGTAGAAGAGGCAACATGGGAAACCTATGATCTAATGGCTGAGCAATTTCCTACATTCCGTCTTGAGGACAAGACGTTTTACCAGGAGGGAAGTAATGATAAAGATCCACCATTGAAAGTGTACTCAAGAAGGAAAGATCGATTCACAGCTGCAAAAGTGGGACAGCTGTATTCTGTCTTTGGAAACTGGCTGAATCCTTTCGGTCAAATCACTGGATGATTTTAGGCAATCAATTTAATTAATGATTATCCAGGAAATTAGGGTGTAGAATCCTGCCCTTAATTTCTACCCGTAATTCTAGTATTTGATTAGTATAAATTAGTGGCTAGTTTTTCATGATTGGAGTGAGAATTATCTTTTAATTTCCTTGTTCTTGTAATCAGAGACCGTGCCCCTCTCGCGGGCCACTATCCTTTATTTCTAATAAAATTCAGCCAATTTTCATCTTCATCAATTCTGTACCTATCAATCGCCCTTATAATCTATGATCTTATTGAATATGTTATAAGCTTATTATCTTTCAAGTTTGAATCTAGTTTTGTTATACTTGTTGGAGATACTATTTCCTCACAAATTTCTATACGTTGAAATTGAATATAGGAAGCAGTGGAATTGGTATAGTATGCTTTGGGTGTGTGGGTAAGGTTGTTAACGTGTATGGTTTATCTAGGAATAATCATATCCTAATCAGGAAAGCACCATGGCTCATTTTTATAATCTATGTCTATGCGTTGTTCTTTGATACTTAAACAACTTCCAAGAATAAGATTTTTGTGTAAGACAAACTTTGGATGTGACCTATGTGCATTAAATGTCAAACCAGATTGACAAATAACGGAAGGAATCAGCGTCATTGAAGTATTCAAACCCATTACAAAGTAGTTGATTAAATCCTATTAGGATGTCACGTCCTACAAGCACATGATAGACAAGCCTAGAATAATAAGGATCATTAAATAAGAAACAAGAAACGAAGGAGACATATGGCGAAACAAGCAGCAGAGAAAAGACATGGGAATTGGAAAATAAAAGAAAGAATATCAGAAAAGAAAATGTCAAGATTTTAGTCATTTAGATGCCAAGAGTGCAAATAATTTTTTTTCTATAGCTATAGACATACGAAGTCTAAGTACTTGAATTGTTTTAGTGCTTCCTGTATGATTCAGGCCACCTCCATGGCCAATTCACATTTGGTGTGGTTATGACACTAACAAAATTACGACATTTTTATACAATGTAAAAAGTCAAAGCTACTGAAGGATATATGTAATAGGGGTATTGGTGTGTGTGATTTGCATCCTAGTGGGTCGAAAATGTTGGAGTTCTTTTGTAATAGTTTTATGTTCGTTGGGTGTATTTTTTATCAAGGTCGGTTATATAATATCGTTGTTGTGGAGTGTTAGGATTAATTTATAATTGCAATATATAGGATTTGTAGTTTATTAGAAATCTTGCTGGGGTAGTACGCGTGTTCGGCAGGTATATGTTGGCATCTTTATCATTGCTGTGATACTGTTGCAGCATACGCATTTATTTATCTTTCAAATCTCATTCTTTGCAGAATATAACTTTATACATAGTCTTAGAAAGCTGAGGATAAACGGATTTTGTGTAATGATTTTATTTAGATAGCCTCTTCTCTTTCTTGGTAGGGTATCTTACTCAGATCATTTTGGCCTGTCCTATCTTGTCTGAGGTAAATGGTTTTATGATTAATTTAGAGACTTCTGCTACATGTTAATATTCTTTGTGATTGTGGGGGATTTTTGATCATGGGTGTAAGGAGCCATAATATTTTTATTATCGCATTTGTGGATGTGTTCTTACTTACAGTACATCCAATCCGCTTGTATTTGGTCCTCAGCTAAAGGAGCTTGCATGGATGTAGGTATCTAGGACATCCCATGCTGAAGCCTTTTGTTGATTAGCTTTTGTACTTTGTCTTTTTCTCATTTATGAGGAATTCTTGCCCACCTTTCTTCTAAGTCTTTGCATGTACTAATGTGACTGCAAATAATTTGTCTACATATACTTTCTATTATTGGTACCTCTTGGGCTACAATCGATGAGTAAGTCTGGCATTTCACTTGGTGCATGAGTCCCCTAGTGGATCTGTGGAATTATTACTCTTACATAGTAGCAGAGAACTTTTTCACTTCCATTTCTCATGCATCTGGATTTCAACACTTCAATTTTGCGGCCTGTAGAAACTTGTTTACAATTGCTGGGCAATGCTCTACCGGTAGAGTTTTTAATCTTATATCTAGGTATGTCTCATAATACTGTGTTTGTAGCTTGTTTAGACTAAATAGAAACACTCATTTTGTTGGATAAAAATATGCTATATATTAAATGGAGAACAGTTTCTTTGAATAAAAATAGGCTATGTATAGATATATAATACACATTAAACCATATATTTGGAGACATGAAGTGTGTCCTGGATGCTTACCTGTGTCTGAAAATTGTTGCTTAGCTATAGCTTTATGAACCTGTTTTAACAAACTCCCTCTCCAACTTGATATTTGTAAGTTTTGGGTATTTCCATCCTCTGCATGTTGGGATTGTGTTTAAACTTTTAAAGTCCCAAGGCTGCTGAATCCAGGTTGAGCTTGGTTGTCTTGGTAGACCACAGCTGAGGCGTGAATCTTTTGCCACCTGCCTGTTGAAGCTCACCTGGCAACACTTGACGATACGTGTGTGTGGATTCTGAACTCAGGACCTCCTCTAGGCCATTCTGAGCAAGTCACCATTCTTCTGAAATTTACAGTCTGCTGCTATCCTATTTCCATTGTAAATGCCCCCCCCAAATTTATCCAATGCTTTAAAGTTTACACACACAAAAGAAGTGTGGAGAATAAGATAATGAGGCTATAGTTAGCTGAAGCATCTTCCTTGTTATGATAATGTAAATGGAGAAAATACGTCGTCACATTTGTCCGTCTACTTCATACTTTTGTATACTTAGAAGTTCGTACTCTTCAGTTCTCCACCTTGAAGTATAGCTGTTTTATACATATCAACTGATTACTTGAAAATGTCAGGTCATATATGGGGATACAGATTCAGTTATGGTGCAATTCGGTGTGCCTACTGTGGATGAAGCCATGAACCTGGGTAGGGAAGCTGCAGATTTCATAAGTGGTACTTTCATCAAAGTAAGTGTTGTTCTGAAACCTGCATGAAATTGAGGCTTCTACGTTGAGAAACTTTTGAGGTGTAAGCAATATGGTTTTGTGATGTACAAATGTGTATGTAACATGCATAATGGTGCCTCTGGCTAACAACTAGCATCCTGTTTCTTTGTCTTATGTATAAATGCAAATCTATGTATTTTTTTGGAATGCATTCCAATTTGCACCTGGTCATGCAAAAAACGTAATCACAACTGGATCTTCTGTTAAAACGATTGGCTTATGCTTGTCTTTGTATCTTTGCTAAGGTTGAATGACAAGTTGAAGGGATTCAAAGCTAGTATCTTTGTCAATCTTGATTACTAATGTATTATTAGCTTACATGGATTATTTATCCCTATTCTATATTATTTGTTTATTTGGAGCTCTTTTGTCTTATCATGTGAAGCTGTAGAGGCATTTTTTGGTTCTTGCTTTGTATACATTTTCACTGGTAGTCGTAACTGTTTTTGGTTTAGTCTGGTCTTATGTATATTTAGTTATCTGACCTTTTTTCTGATTTTTTTTTGGTTAGCCTATAAAACTAGAGTTTGAAAAGGTTTATTTCCCATATCTACTGATCAGTAAAAAGAGGTATGCTGGTCTCTATTGGACAAATCCGAAAAGTTTCGACAAGATGGATACAAAAGGTAAGCAAAAGTGTTTCTTAAACATTGTGAATCAATTTCTCAAGTTCTTTTTTTATGTTGACCAGTCTTGTTGCAAAATGCAAGGGAAAAAGGTAGAGATCGAAGACTTTCTACCCCAAAACTTGCAAGGCCAAGGAGCCTTATTTCACCAGGATCTCTCTTTATATTTTTTACTCTGCCGTAACATGCCATCATCTTCTGATTTCCATTGTCAGGCATTGAAACTGTACGAAGGGACAACTGTCTGTTGGTCAAAAATCTGGTGACTGAGTGCCTTCACAAAATACTAATAGATAGGGACGTACCTGGAGCTGTTCAATTTGTAAAGAATACCATTTCGGATCTACTTATGAATCGCATGGATTTGTCTCTTCTGGTTATTACCAAGGTAAAAATTGTTTAGGCTTTACATTTGCTTCTTTTAAAGTTAAAAATTCGTATGCCTGATTAACTTAGCGAAATAACAGGGACTGACAAAAACAGGAGAGGATTATGAAGTCAAGGCAGCACATGTTGAACTTGCAGAGCGAATGCGAAAGGTTAGTACTAGCTTGCACTTTTATTGGATGTTCCTAGTTCGGTATGTTTATTGCTGTAAATACATCGATCTGCAAATGACACTTCAGTTTAGTTTTAGATCAATGTTTACCAATGATTGGCAATACTATAAAGAACTGGAAGTATGAAATGTGTTGTCTCTGACTATCCACATATACTAGGCAAGGTAGTAGTTTCATTTATTTACGGATTAGTATTCTGCGCTTCTGTTTCTGAACTAGTAAATGGTATTTGTTTAAAGTTGAGTGGAAGTGTATGGACATACTAGTTATTGTGTATAATCCTTAATGTCTAGTACAATATTGAATACTGAGACTGCTATTTGAATTTCATAGCTTCCAATTATGCTCATGTTGTATTTACAGCGAGATGCAGCTACTGCTCCAAATGTCGGAGATCGAGTACCATATGTCATTATTAAAGCTGCCAAAGGTGCCAAGGTAAACGAGAACACAATCCCGATTCTTCAAACCTTACTATACCCTGTTGTGTAGCATTGATAATTTGAACAAATACATCATCAGGCATACGAGAAGTCAGAGGACCCGATATACGTGTTGGAAAATAATATACCCATTGATCCTCAATACTACCTTGAAAATCAGATAAGCAAGGTTGGTGAAGCATTCTTCTTTTCAAAGGTATACAGAGTTGTGCCTGCTAATAAAGAGTTGATGTTGCACAGCCACTATTGAGGATATTTGAACCCATCTTGAAGAATGCTAGTAGAGAACTTCTTCATGGAAGCCATACTAGAGCTATTTCCATCTCTACTCCATCAAATAGCGGGATAATGAAGTTTGCAAAGAAGCAACTAAGTTGTGTTGGTTGCAAAGCTTTAATCAGGTACCCCATGCTTCTTTTTCAAACCTTCATTTAACCTATGTCTTCTAGTTTTGTTTTTATTTTATTTATTCTGTGGCTTTGATCCTCTCTAAAATTCAGAGATCATACTATAAAAAATCCCAATTGGCAAAGAGATGCTCTTTTGTTTTGTTCATGATTAGCGGTAACTGCTATTATCTATCTAATTCTTTCTCAAAAGGATTCTTTGGTTGTTTTATTTCAGTAACAAAGATCATACACTTTGCTCACATTGCAAAGGAAGGGAAGCAGAACTTTATTGCAAAACAGTAGCTAATGGTATGTAAACTTGTTTCTTCTACTTTTCTTTCAAATGACGAAGTTAAAACTGTATGTTGTAAAAAATTTAGTATCGGAGTTGGAGAAGCTTTTTGGGAAGCTATGGACACAGTGCCAGGAGTGCCAAGGATCTCTTCATCAAGATGTTTTATGTACAAGGTGCTCACTAATCTCTTAATTCTTGCTTGCTATCTCTTCATCAACGGTGTTTTAATGGAGTTATGTGTTTGTTTTTGTAGCCGTGATTGCCCGATATTCTACCGGAGGAAGAAAGCACAGAAAGATATGGCTGAAGCCAAAGTCCAATTAGAACGATGGAACTTCTAGTATTCTACTTTCTGCTGTATTATGCACTCTGCAAAGGCGAACCCACATGTCAAAAATGGAAGGATAAAATGAAGTGTTTGTTTCAGTTCATCATCTACCTTTTATGACCATGAATGATGATAGATCTGGTCTAACATTTTCGTTTAGGAGATAGATTCAGTAATTGTATAATAGGTGTTTCTTGTTATGTTATGGTATTCTGATTCACTTCACTCAGAATATATAGGAATGTCAAACTGTATGTCGTTAATGATTTGTTACAGCAATTAGATACTTTTAGCTCATGTTTGACATCCATCCACTATGGAAGAGTTGTTTTTCCAACAAAGACAAACCAAATTTGCTTATTTAAGAAAACTTGTATAGTTACAAGAAAAAATGGATCTCAAAAGTTTTTCCACAATGGCGAGGTGATCAAAAGCTTTTCCATAAAAGCTACTTTAAACAACTTATTGGAGGAATTTTTGCATTTTTTAACAACTATTTCCTTTATCTTAAGGTTGTAAATGGGACGAGACTTTGACATGCGATAAGATCTAATATTAAGTATTAGGAGCCATAAAGTTATTCAAAGTGACTTTTTGCACCAAATCTGTACATCGTGTGTGTACATTGTGAGAAGACGGTCAATTTACGAGAAGGATTCTAGAACAACCATTTCATTAAATTAATATCTTAATTAAAATAATCCAAAATTAAATTAAAAGGGTATAAGTGTTATTTATCAATAGTTGTTAGCTTTCTAGTTAATCGAGAATAATTCCTATCTTCTTAGGATGTAAGCATCTTTTTGTAGGAGGGTTGGTGGCTCTAATCTTCCACATGAATAATAAAGGTTTTTTGTGTAATTGATAATAAGCGGTATTGTAGTTGTTGCTAATCACATATGATATTAGTAACCAACTTTTGTGTTTTATCATCTTTCTTATTAATATGATATTATGATATACTCTTGTGTTTATCCTATGTATTGAATCATATATGATATTAGTAATAGATTCATATGTAATTTATAATCACATGTGATGATGTTAATAAAAATGTACTTATTTTCTCGTATGTATATTTGTTTAATAGATCCACATGTGACAATAGATTTATGTCTATATATAGATGTTATAATAAATTCACGTCTATATATTATCTCACATGTGATAAGAGACTAAAATAAGTATCTTCTCACATGTGACATTTGGCAAAGAAAAAACGTAAAAGAAACATTATACGTGAATATAAAAAAATAATAAATAAAGTAGTTAAGATAATCAGATGATTAATTTAATTTAATTTAATTTAACTAAGGATATAATATAATTAAGGAGATGATGAGATTTTTAAGGAGATTCACATGATTAATTTAATTATCATTAAAATCTAGATTACATTCATACCCTTTTATCCTAATTTCTTGCAAATTGATTGTCTTCTTATTTGAACTTGTCCCTACATATATGTAGAGAGAGAGGATCATGCGAGAAGTTAAACATTTTGCGAGAAGGCAAGAAGTTTCAATATCATATATGATTACACTTATTTGAGTATGTTTAATCATATATGATTAAGCATGCATGTGTTGTCAATGCGACATGCTTTTAGTCATATATGATTAAATTCTTGTATCATGTGTGTAATCATATATGATATTGAAACTTCTCGCTTTCTCGTAAAATGTTTAGTTTCTCGTTTGAAACTTCACAACAAAATAATGTAAGACAACGTTTTTACACTTAAAACTTCACAACAAAATGTTGTGAAGATAAAACAAATCTGAACCTTCACAACAAAAACATTGTGAAGGTTACCTTCACAGTGTTTTGCTGTTAAGTTTCAAGTGTAAAAATGTTGTTTCACGTGCCTTATGAAAACAACCTTGTCTTACATGATCCCAAGTCTCTCTCTCTCTATCTCTCTCTCTCTCTCTCTCTATATATATATACATACATACATATATACATATATACAGGGGTAAGATCTTTTGTTAACCAAGAATATGGTGTTAACTTGTAAACTTATTGGACCAATAATATTAATTCTTTAGTAGAGGTTACTTCAAATGTTTGATTTAATGATGAAATTACTCTTATTGGCAAATAGGTAATTTTTATGTGGAAGTTACTTTTATGATATTTAATGAGTTGTCACAATTTTTATTTGTAAGTTACTTTTATAGTATTTAATGATGTTCATAGGTGTTCATAAAAATGCGTTCAAACATAAGGTATTTATAAGAATGTGCTCATATGTGTTCATAGGTGTTCATAAGAATGTGTGCATAACTATAAGGCGTTCATAAAGATTGTGTTCATAACCATATGGTGTTCATATGTATTCAGTAAGATTTAATGAACATAATCGCATTGTCCATAATAATGAACATAATCACATTGTCCATAATAATGAACATAGATGCTCATATGTATATTAGTGTCCATAACAATGGAGATTTTCTTATTAATAATGTTCATATGAATATTAATATCATTAATGAGCAGTTATAAACTTTATGAATTTTTTTCCCAATAATACCCTTTTATGTATGCTTGATGTGCTATATTCGTAAGTGTGCACACAGTAGGCATAAAATCCCCAAAGTGGCGGTGCAAGTGCACGCCGACACTAAGATCGCTTCAAGTAATAAAGTGGTATAGTACCAAGATCGTTTCCACAGGGACCAGACTTACTGAGAATCAGAGACTTTCATGAACTTCTTGAACAATGTTTCGGGTTGAGAAAATATTTGAGTTTTGATTGGTGCAAAGCTTTAAAATATGAAATAAACCTTTAATATTAAAAGATGGGTATGGGTGTAAGCTTTGCTTAAGAATAGAGCAGGAACGACTTGGTTAGAAACCCATGGGATTTCTATAAGAACTCCTTTATCTCGAAAGTGAATTCTTATATACTATGCCCACAGAGTGCCCACAAAGCGTCCAAAATTATCAATCTTAAACTTGCCGATTTAGCTACTAGATAAAAAGATATCTGGCTCCACTAGTCTGAAGATTTATACTCACAACGTATTGTAGCATAAACTCGACTAATATCTGAACAAAAGCTAAAAACATGCAAAACCCGCATCTCTGCGTGATTATCAAAGACTCTCTCGAACCTTTGTGCATCATCTAAGCTGTATTTCAGATCCGCCCATCTCTGGATCAAGGATCTAATATTAACACTTCAAAGTGATCGGCTTATCTGCGTTGAGTTTACGTCCCGACTTAAATGACCAAGCTTAAGAATCAATAAAAATGGCAACACCCAAGTGTGCCCTTAAATCCTTAAGCTTAACTCACACCCACACCCAAGGGGGTGCTTAGCTCATAATGAAATTAGAAAACATAACAGAAATAGAAAAAGAAGAATGCATAAGAAATTCTTGAGCTGAAATTAAATACTTACTGGTGCCCACAGAKGGCACACAATGCAGTGGCGAGAATAACAGCTGAACTACGAAATTTAAATTACAAACTCAATATAAACTAGTTCTCCTACTACAAAGCTTTAAAGAAGATGCTCCAAGATGCTGGTAGAAAAGTTGGAGTTGAGATGGATTGGAGATGGATTCAATGCTTGAGAGAAGTCTTCAAATAAATAGGGGGAAAGGTGGGACCCAAATACTCTTTGTCCAATGGGTAATGACCACCCATCACCACATGTCTTCTTCAATCWTGAYCAAGTCACCTCCTCTTGATAGGTTGCAAAAGGTGAAGGTACAACCAATAAATGTGATGGAAAAGCCATTCCATCATGGTACAAATAGAACTCTTCCAAGTCTCATCATCCCATAACTAGGACCAATCTTCCATGCAACCAAGTAATTAGATTTGAACTTARCATTAACTCCCAATAATATCCAAGAATATGAATATCATAATTTTGTTCAAATCCAACTAGATGCAAAATTTACCAACAATAATGAGTTTTTTTAGAAAATAATTAAATTCTTAACCTTTCATCACCTCTTAACATATTTTGGACCAAAAATATAGAATATGAGCAAAATGGGTACCAAAGATACAATAAAATAGGGGTATTGAACAACAAATAACTCTAACAAAATGAGAGTTATCACACCCCCAAACTTGAGGTATTACTTGTCCTCAAGTAAAAGAAAATAATTAAAAAGACACCTAAAGAAAGGAACAAGAACGAAACACTTACGGAAGGTGTTGGAAATTCGTCTAGTAAAGAGGATGTACAAYTTCCTTTCTTGATCTTCGTAGTGTTGCCGTTAATCAGTAGGGCTTTTGGGTTAGTGTTTTTGGCAATGATARYGTGTATCCCTCCCCCAAACTTATCCTATACTACAAAAGGGTTTGAAACAAAAGTTCTCATCGATTCACTTTTGAGTACAAGGAAAAAGTTCGTGACCCATTTATTGGCATAAACTTGCCCTTTGGAGTACCGGGCTTTTTATTTTCGGCTCCCAATTTTCCGAAGACCGATTATTTTATTTTATTTTTTTGTTTTGTTTTCTTCTCTTTTTTCTATATTTTTTTTTCATACCTCCCAATTTTTCGAAGGTATATATATTTTTTTCTTTTTGAACACATCCCCCCAAACTTGATAATAACAATGTCCCCATTGTTGCCAAAGGGACCAAAAGGTTACGGGTTGGGTGCAAAGGGAATAGTGTTTGGGTTTAAAAACAAAAGGAGGGCCTACATCCTTTTAACTTTAACACTACCAAAAATCATCCAAGCAAATTGTACCTGAAATGAACAATGGAACTAGACAAAGCAAAAGGAAATCCAACACCCATATCATAAATAATCACACAAAAGAAAATAGCATTCCGCAAAACATACATAAAAGACGGAATGAAAATGTATCTGTACCCAAGAGTTATATCCAAAAATAATGTTTAAAGAGGTGGGATCAAAAGTTGAGAATTTAACCATTTCTGCCAAACTGCTCACTGTGGGCAAACAGTGGCTGCATCTGCCCCCTCGGAGCTTTGGACAATGGGAGCAGTAACTGAAACA